CCTTACATTTATTATCAACTGATCTTTTAACAAGGGAGCCCAAACAATTCAGTGGGGACAGAAGAGGGTTTTCAATACATGGTGCTGGGACAACTGGGGACCCACAAGCAAAAGGATGAAGCTGAACCTACCTCACTCCACATACAAAAATCAACTCAAAATGGATCACAAAAATAAATACAAGAGCAAAACCGGAAAAATCTTAAAAGAAAACACAGGAATAAATCTTCATGATTTGGGTTTAGGTAACGAATTCTTAGAACTCCAAAAGCACAGTGGTAAAAAGAAAAATGGAGAAATTGGTCTTCATTAAAATAAAAATCTTTTGTACTTCAAGTAACACCATCAAGTAAGGAAAAAAACTACCCGCAGAATGTGAGAAAATATTTGCAAATCATATATCTGAAAAGAGCCTGGATCTGTAATATGTAAATAAATCTTTCAGGTGAAAAATAAAATGACAAGTAGCCCAATTGTAAGATGGCGAAGTCTCTGATTACATGTCTCCAAAGAAGACATGTAAGTGGTGTAACAAGCACATAAAGGGCGCTTGACGTCAGGAGTCATCAGGGGACCGCAAACCACAGCTGAGTCGAAACACCACTCCAGCGACACAGAACTAGTGTCTAGAACATATGACAACTCCACTGTGAAAGAACCATCCAAGCAGACCACGGGCAAAAGCTGTAGAGATATTTCAGTGAAGATGGGGTGCCTGTGGCAGAGGTGTGAACGAAGCCTGCCGTCATGTGAGGCGCGGGTCACATCATGATGACACTCACTACATGTGTATCGGAATGGCTGAAGTTAGAAACATGACACCACCAAATACTGGCCGGGCTGCAGAACCCAGATTATTCATACAGTGCTGGTAGGGATGGAAAGAAGGCAGTCCTCTGGAAGGGTTTAGTTTCTTAAAACCTGAACATGCGACAGCTATACAACCCAGAAAGTGCCCTCCTGGGCACGCACCACACAGGGGTGAGGACACATCCGCACAGAAACCTGGACACACGTGTGTGGAGCAACTATATTCATAAGAGCCGCAAACCAGGAACAGCCCAGACGTCCTTCAGCAGATGGGTGTGAAACACGCGGACCCACCCACACCACATACACGACTCAGCCACAAAAAGGAGCTGAGTGCTGACGCACAGTAGTTTGGGTGACTCTCCAGAGAACTATGCAGAATGAAAATAGCCGGAACTCAGAGTTACTGTGCAGCATGGTTTCGTGTCCACAACGTGCTTGAAATGGCAAAGCTGCAGAATCATCAGGTTAGTGGCCGCTGCGGATGCGGTGGGAGCAAGCGGGGAGGTGGGTGTGGCCAGGACAGCGACAGGAGGGGACCCTGTGGGGTGGAGGCCCATGTCTCGACTGCCAGGGTCCACACCCAGGCTCTGAGCCACGCTAGCGGGCAGGTTGTTACCACTGGGAAGTGGCTTGACAAAGGATACGGGCTCGCTCCGTCTTGCTTCTTACAACCGCTACCTCCAGTCAGAAACTGTAAAAAAAGCCAGTTCCCAAGCCTCCCGGCAGCCACCCCCAGCGGCCTGCTGGCTTCCCAGAGAAAGTCGGGGAAGCTGCCTCTGCCTGGCCTGCGCCTGCCCCTCTGACCTACACCCGCCGGGTTTTCACCAGCATCGGCCTTGGCCTCTCAGCAGTGCCTCGCCTGGCCCATCACTTTCTTGAAACTGGCTCTTTGCTCTGCTCCCAAGTCACGCCGCGCTCCCATCCCCACCTGGGGCCCTTTTCTGGCTCCTTCCTTCCCACCTGGCTTCTGAATGTCGGCCTGACCAGAGGAGGCTCCGCCTGTGGCCTCCTCATCAGCGCCATTCACAGGCGACCTCAGCCTCCCCGTCATTTTAAACACCATTCGGGACTCCAGACACACTGTCAACGTGCGGTCCCCTCGGAGCCCCTCTAGCACACCTGTGTTCTGCACACCTGCCCTGGGACCAAAGCGGCAGCACAGTTCCAACGCCTCCACTCCTCTCTGCTAGAACCGAGCTGAGCAAACGCCTCTCCGGGCTCTCCCTTCCCACCACGAGGCCCCAGCTCTCCCTGCAGCCCGAGTCCAGGGCCTTCGGTCCTTCTCTCCCACCGGCCAGCCAGCACCACGTCCTGTGAACCGACTTCAAAACGCTTCTGAGTGCTGCCCTCTGGCTTCATGCACCCGCAGTGAGCACCCAAACCATGTGGGCACAGACCAACCGGAGCCCCGAACAGCCCCGCCTGGGGTGACGCGCTGGGCTCGTCCTCTGACTTCTGATAAATCCTGAGACACAGAAGTTCCACAATCGCTTCAAGTAGAAATTAGTGTCACCTCAGTGAATAAGTGTCCAGTCCCAGCTGACAATAAAACTGCTCCGGGCCAAGCGCTCTGCTCAGTGGGCCCTTCCACCCCCTCCCCTCTCCACAGCTCCTGCCCACGTTTCCTTCTTCCTCTGCTGGGTCAAGCTGCTGCCTCCAGGGCTACCAGGGCAGGGGGGGAAGGAGGGGCCAGGCAAGTGGCTCCAGGCGTCTGCTGACAGGAGGGACCACGGACTCGCGCCATTTCTCCTCCAGCAGGAGAGCCCCAGCCCACGGTTCCCAGCAGTCCACGCTGAGCAGACCCCACCATCCCAGGTCAGAACGTGGAAGGGCTCCTGGCTGCAGCGGGTCCGGACAGACACTCACACGCCCCCTCTCCACCTGCGTCGGGGGCAGCACCTGAAGACCCACGCCTGCTACCCTGAAGTCCAGGCACTATCGCTTGGGCCGCTGCTCTAGGGGACCACGAAAGTCCCTCTCCCTGGGCTCCCACTCCACAGAATCGCCTTCAAAATGCCCGTCTCATCTCCAGCAGCCGCCCTGCTGTCCCTCGCTGCAGTGGTGCACCCAGCGCTCATGGCCACCCACTCTGGCGCCAGCTGCACAGCTTACCTCTGTTACTGCATCCTGGTGGCCTGCCAACCCCCCAGGCACCAGCCCGTTGCAACTGCAAGTCTGGCTTCCAGGCGTCCCCAGGCCTCACTTTCCCAGAGCCCTCTCACTGGTCCCCCGCCGCTCGTCCTCATTTCTTTGTGTTACAGCAGTTGCCCTCACTGCGGCCTGGTTACTGAATGCCTCCTGCTCACCACTGGACAAGCAGCATCTTGGGATGCCCAGCACCCAGTGAGGCCGTGGCGCTTCCCTGACCACTGCCTCCTGCCCTAGTTTCTGGCTCATGTCCAGCCTCTCCCCCTCGGGCACAGACCCACCAGTCTGAGTCACCTGGGCCTCTGGCCAAGTCCCAGGGAGCACTGAGGGCGGCAGAGACGGGCTCCTGCAGTCACGCAGTCCCTTGTTAGGGTGGGGCTGGCAGGGATATGGCCAGCTCAGAGCTATTTTTAGGGTCTGTCTTTGTGGAAATTGTTCCTTTGCCGGCTGTAGAAGAGAACAGCCAAGCTCCTCATCACGGCCTTTGTCCCCATTCTTTTCTCCCTCAATCAAACAGAGCTGTCACCAGACGTAACTCCCACTCCACAAGGGACCTCGGGCCAACTTCTCATGAAGTCTTGAAGTGCCATCTGTCTGTCCAGCGGCACTGAGCTAGCGCCTGCTGCATGCCCAGCCCCGAGGTGCAGCTGGGTCTGCACAAGCCCATGCAGGACACACAGAGCAGAGGGTCCCATGTGTGCCCTTCCTCCTGCCCACTGTCACAACCCCAGCACAGGGCTGCAGGGGATCGTAACTCACATCCCACCCGGTGCCCCAGGGACAGATTCACAGTGAAGCAGCTTGTACTTCAGGGTCCCAGCGCCGGAGCAGGACACACCCGGCACGCAGGCCACCAGCCAGGCCTTCCCACCAGGCACCTGGGTGCATTCCTTCTCCACCTCCCACAGCCCCGAGATACTAGCTTAATTGTCCTCACGCCCTGAAGGTTCAGGGGCTCCAGGAGCCAAAGGGAGCAGGTGGGGGGTCTCAGGAGGCGGGGAGGTGGGAGTGACACGAATGACCAGTCACCCCAAGACTTATCCCCAACTTCTGTCATGGGCACCAAACCCCGACCGCCCTGCACTGCTGAGACGGCTGCCATTCTGATGACAATGAGGTGACCAGAGGATCAGTACCAGAAACACTCAGGGGAAGAAATCAAAAGTGCAGGACAGGGGCCAGCCGAGTGGCTCATTGGTTAACAGTTGGCTTGGGACGCCAGCTCTGAGAAGCAGGGGCCCGGTTCGGATCCCACATGAGGGCCAGTGATGCTGCGCCCTCTACAGCTAAGATGGTGAACAACAGCTTGACCTGGAACTGGGCTGCTGTGAGTTGCTGGCAACGGTGTAGGCTACAGCCCCTGCTGCAGTGAGCTGCTGTAAACTACCGTGAGCGGCTGTCCAGTGGGCAATGACCAATCTGCCTCACCCGGGAAGAGCGCAATGATAATACCAACATGGGCCAGTGAAGCGACGTCCTCCACAACTAGACTGAAGAACAAAAGGACAGCAACTTGTCTGTTCCCCTTCCTCTCCCCCCGACTCCCCGATTTCCCAGCACTGTTCCCCTCCCACAATTCCCCAATAAAATCTTAAAAAAAAAAAAAGTGCAGGACAGGTTCCCACCCCAAGAACACCAGCACTATGAGCAGCTTCCTGACTCGGCTCAGCATGGCCCTTGTCACCAGGCAGCCCAGAGCCAGCAAGAGGCCCGGGCCCACGTCCCTTCCTCCATCCAGAAGACCCAGCAGGGCAGAGAGCTGGTGTCAGCAGCAAGCTCCCAAGCCAAGGACATCAGCTAGCTGCCTCCTCTGTGTCACCTTCTGTAAGAAGGGTCTTGGAGTGATGATTCTGTCAGCTAATAGATAAAACAACCCCCAGGACCAGGGTCAAGAGTTTGAGTGGACGCCGATCACAGCGGACCCCAGTGGAGCCATCTGAAGGAAGGACCAGGGTTGGGCAGAGGCTCTCAAGTCAGAGGCACCACCCTGTGTGGGACCCCAGGTCACCAGGCCTCAGCGCTGACCCAGAGGGACTCACGTTGTAGAGGATGTCGGTCCAGCCCTCCATGGTGATGCACTGGAACACTGTCAGGACAGCAAACAGGATGTTGTCGAAGTTCGTGATCCCGAAGTTGGGCCCCGGCCAGTACTCCCGGCACTCAGCACCGCCCTCACACAGCCGGGCAGGGGCCTCCCGGCCACACGGGAAGTCGCCCACCGGCTCTGCATCTGGGAGCACAAGAGGGGAGCAACAGACCCTGGGCTCAGACACTCATAGTGCTCCACCCCTCCTGGGGACCCGCTCGCACCCACCCCTTCTGGACCAGCTCACAGGCGGGCAGGAATCAGGCCCCCATGGGAACCCTCCCTCAACTTCCCACCACCCTTCCCTGCACCCACACCGCTCTCTCCTCCTGCCTCCAGTCTCCTCCACTGGGGTTCAGACCTACCCTCTCAGGAACTACTCGTCAGCCCCTCCCTCTCCACTGTCACCTGCCCGTCATCATTTAAACATGCTCAGGACTCATTCATCTTACAATCAAAACAACGAACTCCTAATCTCCAGTTTGTCCTGCCTCTCCACACTGACTTCTCTCCCTCATGGCCAAACTGCCACCAAGACTCTCCTGACATGCATAGCTGCCTATCACTCTGCAGCCAGTGCCAGGCTGGACTCAGCCACTGCTGTCGGTGCCCGTCAGGCAGGCCAACCCAGAGCCCACCCAACATATGCCCAGAGATAGCGGGGACCCCAGCCAGGCCCCACTAGCCCGTCCCCACAGAGTGGACGTGCTCCCACTGGCTGGTGCCTGGCAGACAGCCAGGGACCAACAGGGGGTTAAGGAGACATCACAAAACCAGTGCTAATCTCTAGACAAGATGGCAAGCAGCACACCCACTCCCACAATCCTAGAAATGGGAGGTAAAACTGTATATAAATAAACGTATAATCGCATGGAATCCCTCCCATCAACAGGGGGAATTGCTGAGGCCCTGCCAGGACGGAAGCAGATCCCAGGCGGAGAAGGCAAACAGCAAGCCACTCTGTTCTGTCCCCCGATATTCACAGATGCTCGTGGAGACCACAGTTGTCGTCTCGTGGAGACAGCTGTGTTCTCTGTGAATCAGAACAGTCTCACTTCCTCCGTTCCAGTTCTGGGCAGCTTTTCTTCTTTCTCTCGTGTCCTGCCACCAGCCCTGACTACCAGCGCCACATCAACACAAGAGACCATGTGTGCCTTTACTTTCTTCGTGGATTTAAAGGGAAAGCTCAAGACTTACAACAAAGTATGATGTTTGCAGGAGGTTTTAAGGAGTTTAAGAAAATTCCTTTTTATTTCCAGTTTGATAAGTGGTCTTTAAAAATCATGAATGATTTAAATTTTAGTAAAAGCTTTTTGTGCATCTACCGAGATGACCAGATGGGTTTTCTCCTTTGTGTGTAGCTCAGGCCACAGCCCTCGTGTCATGCTCAGCCCTTCTCTCTCTTACCCACTAGGTACAGTCTCCCGACAGACTCACTGCAAAAGGCACCCAGAACTAGGCCGACCTAACCGCCTCCGCCGTCCTTCCGGCTGAACCCTGCTTCTGCCTCTGTCTCCTACAGCAGCCTGGTCATCAGAGGATGTCACTCCTCACCCAGAGGCTCCGAGTCTCCCCACGTCTCCCAGAATAAGACTCAGAGCTCCCCGCAACCCTGAAGCCCACATTTGCCCATCAGCTGTTCGTCACACTGCCTTCCGCATCGGCTGTTCCTTATAGCTCAAGGCCTCTGGCCAGGCGGCCACACAGCTCTCCGCCCACTGCTTTCAGACCGTGCTCAGCTGTCACCTTAGCATAGCGGAGGCTCCCCTACCCCCCAGTATGCTCTGTGAGCAGGTCCAAATCGCTCTATTTCAATACCCTTTTGTTTCCTTCCTAGAAGTTCCTACATCTGCAAGGACTTCATCTACTGTTTGTTTCTGTATTTGTACGTGTCAGGTTACTGACTGTCCCCACCGGAACGTAGGCTCCGCCTCAATGCGTGGCGCCCAGAAGCACCCCGAGCGCCCATGGCCTGTGAATGACTCAGGCAGGCCTCACCTGTGCTGTTGGGGAAACAGGCCTTGTGGAATTTGCCCATGTAGAACTCCAGGCCGATGATGGCAAACATGAGGATGGCGAAGAAAAGCAGCAGCCCGATCTGCAGCAGCGGGACCATGGCCTTCATGATGGACTTGAGCACCACCTGCAAACCTGCAGCCAGAGAAGGCACAGCAGGCCAGTCAGGGCAGGGCGTGGGGTGAGGCGTGGGAGCTACAGCAAGAGCCTAGGTGGCCCGAGGACAAAGGACAGAGCTGGGAGCCCTCCACGGAGGAGACAGAGCAGGGACTGGGGGGAAGGAGGGCAGGACAGTGAGTGCTTGTATGGGCAGAGCCGGGCCCTCGGGGCGGGGGACAAACCACAGGGTCTTGAGGGGAGGTGGGCTGTGGGGGGAGGAGTGGGGTGCAGGGGTGTCAGAGCCTGAAGTCTGGGTGGAGAGTGTGGGTGGGTGACATCTGTAAATCTACGGAGCACTCTGCGTGGAGCAAGAACAGGGAGTCCTGAGAGGGAAAATGAGAAAACCCTGAGAAGGAAAGGCAGAAGATTCTGGAAGCTAAGATCAGGAAACGCTGGGAGGCAAGAGCAGGGAATGCTGGGAACTAAGAGCAGGGGATTCTGGGCGGGAAGAACAGGGAATCATGGGAGGCAAGAGCAGGGAATGCTGGGAGGGAAAGCAAGGAATGCTGGGAGGGAAGAGCAGGGAATGCTGGGAACTAAGAGCAGGGACTCCTGGGAAGCAGGAGCAGGGAATGCTGGGAGGGGAACACAGGGGTTCCTGATAGACCCAACTCCTTAGGGAAAGTGAAGCAGAGGACATGCCCCCGAGGAGTGTTTTAACTCTGAGCGTCCAGCACAAGCGTGTCCAGGCCAGAGGAACTAAGCAGAGGGGCTGAACCCCATGACCCCCGCTTCCAGCCTGGCCTTCGCCCTTGTACAGGCCTGAGCCTTTGCCTGACAGGGCCTTGGGGGACACAGCCTAGGTTCCCACCCAATCAGGCCCTGAGGGAAGCCGAACCCCAAACTTCCACTGGACTGGAGGGGCAGGGGCCAGGGTGGCCACTGGCTCACCAGGTGACTCGCCATCCTGCCCAATCCAGGAACGCGTCTGAACCTGGTCTCAGTTCCCACTGGCCCTGCCCCCACCACCTGGGTCAACCTCTCTTCTGCCCTTTAATCCCAGAAAAAGACTCAAAAGAGCTGGGAATGCAGCAGGGGGGTGGTGGGGGGGAGCAAAGCTGCAGTCTAGGGCAGCCGAGTCGGACTCAGGCTTTCGTGGAGGATGGACACTGAAAAAGGCCAGCTCCCCGCTTCTTTACACCTGGTTCCCTGGGGTCAAGAACAGCAAGCTCAGAGTGACCAGGGCCAAAGGGCAACCTGGTGGGGGGGGGCGTGGCTGTGGGCGTGGCCGTGGCGGGATGGGGCGGAGGGCGGGGTCCGGGTAGCTGGAGCCTCACTGCTTTCTCCAGACTCACTTGGAATCCCAGACACCAGCTTCAGGGGCCTTAGCACCCGCACGGCCCGCAGCGTCCGCAGGTCAAAGTCAGTGCCGGCCGTGGCAAGGATCCTGACGGAACGAAGGGGAGAAGAGTAAGGGCTTCCCGCCGAGTTGAGGAGACAACGTCTTCCTCCCACCTGTGTCCTTTCTCCCAGGCAAGTGACCCTTTGTATCTCCGTCCCCCACTGTCTGAGCACAGCGCTGCCGTACGTGCGGGTCCTCTCCAATGGTGTTAGCAATGGCTTTTACCAGCACGAACATCCCTCCAGTTCAAAGCCATCACCTGAGGGGACACTGGGTCTCTGGCTTTGAGTCTGTCCTCCAACTGAGTCCAAACCTGAACCATGTCCCCAAACCAAGCCCAAGTACAGTCCAAGCTGCCTCGTGAGAGACAGTGATGAGTGGGCACAGGCGTAAATGGAGCTCGAGGGGCTCCTGGACAAGCCCCGCATCCTTCCCTCACTCACTCTATCTCAGGCTGACGTGGGAAGAAGGGGGCAGGAAGGTGGACTAGAGGGCTCAGAGAACTCAGAAAAACCACCCCAGTCAGTTCCATTAGCCTAAAAACATAGTCCCACATCTCCCGTTTTAAAAACAAATGGAAGATCCCACATCCATCTCTCACCACAGCACCTTTCTCTGCTCGCTTCACACCCAAACGCGCTGAAACTGCCCATCGTGGCTCCCGTCACTGCCTTACCCCTCCTTTCTCTTCAGCTCTGCTCTACTAGGTTCTCACCCCCACTGTTCTGTGAAATACTGTGTCAGTCCTTCCTCTTGCCAATTCCAACAGTTCAGTATCCTTTAAATGGTTTCTTCTCTTGCCCTTGGGTCAACTCTCTGGTTTTCCTCTTAACTCCTTGGGAGTGGCTTATAGGTCTTACATGTCAGCTTTACCTTCAATACCAGACTCAAAAATTGGGTGCCCCAGGGCGCACCCCTTAGGGATCTACCCAATAGCTCTGAGCGCCGCTGTACGCTTATTTCTCCCAAGCACACATCTTTAACTCAAATCTGAAACTCTGGGCTCATATATCCAAATGCCTTTTAAACATTTCCACTTAGATATCAAAAAAAGCATATCCATCATTATATAATATAATTAAACAACTCTTACACTTTAATGTAAGTATTTAAAATGTCCTTTTTTTTTAAAGTTCAGCGTTGTTACGTCATGGTGACTTAAGACCTTTTGACTCTTACTCATAACCTTGCTCCCTCCCCAACACCTGCCCCGCCATCTCAGTGACTAGCAAGAGTCAACTGCTGTTTAAGCCAAAAGCGAGGTGTCCTCCCTGGTTCCTCTCTCTTACACTCCATATCCAACTCACCAACAATCCTGTTGGCTCTACCTTTAAAACGCATCCCGGAATCGTGATGAAGAAGGCTTTGTGTCGCCCCAAATGCACTGGAGGGATACAGCTTGAGATGGAACAGGTCAATAATGAGAAGACTCAGGAGACAAGGAAAGAAGGGGCAGCAAGGACATTCAGTGGAACCAAAATGCCATAGAACGTGAGAAAACCCAGTGCTAAGAGAGACGTTCAACTATTGAAATCAACTATTGGAAAATTCATTTCGTTCAGATGAAATCAACAAATTATGAAACAAAAACTGGCAGAAAGAGGTATTTTAAAAAATAGCTAGAGGGGGCCGGCCGAGTGGCGCGATGGTTAAGCACTGGCTTGGGACGCCAGAGGGCCCCGGTTCGGATCCCACATGTGAGGGCCAGTGACACTGCCCTCCACAGCTAAGATGCTGAACAACAGCTCGACCTG